CTTTCTATCCGCCAAACCCTTCCTTCCGCTCTTCGAATGCAGGCTCAACCCCACGAGCGCCACTTGCAACAGTAGCAGCGGTATGCTGCCGTAATACGAGAACTTCTATCATGAGCACCATAGGTCAGTGACGCTGGCCTTGCACATCTCCCTCTCGGCAAATGGAGGAAGCAAAGACATACCGTCTCGATACACAGGCTCTCGAAATGCTTCGGCCGCGGGTTGCCACCTTTGCCGAACCATGCCGCTTCCCACTGGCAGCTCCATGTCTGCAGGGTGTCCCTCCCTCCCTCTGTCGGGTTGTTGATCACAGCCTGGAGGATCACGCTCGCCACGACAAGGGCCGAGGCGAGGAGGCCGGTCGCCAGGCCTACAATGTTCGATCCAGGAAGCTGGAGTTTGCCGTCTGTCAGCACGCCTCCACAGAGCGCATGGATCAGGACCCCTTCCATCGAGGCCGTTGCCGCCTTACCTTTGGCACTACCATCGACGCGAGGGAGAAGGCATTGAGGAGGACAGTGGCGGAGCAGACCCCAACCGAGGTCTGCAGGCCGCGCAGGTCGAAGTGGCTGGGCCATAAGGGCAGGAGCCAGACATTGAGGGTCTGCTGCGAGTGGAAGACGCTCAAGCTGCGGGCGGCAATGGCTAGGACGGAGATGCCCAGGGCTATGGAGAGGGCGAGCGTGGCCACTGTCAGGGCCGGAGCGGGTGTACGGAGGAGATTTGGTAGCATTGTGTCAAATTCAAGGTCGAGCTTTGACTGTATGGGGATGGAGTCGAGCAAATGATGTAAGGAGGGTGGGCTTGCTTCCATATATGTGCAAGGACATATATATACATACATATATATATATATACGCATCTACAGTATATGTATGGTAGCACAAGAGATTCACCCAGCAAGCGCCGCCATGGTAGCTGGCGTGATGTAGGTTCGATAGGCAGAGCTGCAGCACGTCTCAAGCCATCACGTCGACCAGCATGGGCTGGAGGAAGTACACCTTCTGTCCAGGCTGGACGCAGTACGTGAAGTGGGCGGGTTCATGCTAGAGTTCCCAAAGGGGGTACTTGCGATTCACGCATAGACACGGCGCGTAAACCGTGCTTCTGCGCAATAGCTATGTGTATTGTATTCTGGTACCTGACATGAAATGCTTTGTGGGCAATCTGCAAAGCACAGCAGCAGCGCCAACGTGCAGGTGTAGGGGAAAGCATCGCTATGAGAGGTGATTGGCTGCCGCATGGGTCGCCGGGGCGGTTAGCGAGCATCGACAGTGGTGACCCTCCGTACATATCGTTTCAGAGCGCTGCTGAAGTGGTCTTGCAATGGGCGCTTGACGGTGTTTATGGATCGTGACTGGTAGGGTCTTAGAAGCCTCTCTTGATCTACATCGACTTGTTATTGTCGTCGCACTGCTCGTTGATTTGGTGCGGAACGCAGGTACAGGTATCGATACCGATTGTGGGTAGTGCTATCGATATGCAGGGCGCTGGAGGGGCCTTTGGAGGGGGGCAATCATTGCACAGCGAGTTCGCCATCAATAGTGTACACGCAGAGCAACACAGGTAGCTATTACCGGTGCATCTTCCAGGGACCGCGAAGCAGCAGGCGGACGAAGGGTGGGAAATCTTCTTTAGGCCCCCTCCCCCCACAGCCTCTCGCTGTCACTTGGCCTCGAAGCATATCACACAAGGTGTATCAATAGCGAAGCATTGATAATCAAGGGGCAGCAGACTCGCTCCTAGTAGCTGTCTGCCCAAAAGCAGGCCGGCCGCGTCCAGCCGAAAAGCCCGTCGGGGCCGAGCTTGCCCTATGTAGCATCGGATTTGGAGAGAAGAGAGAAGCTCTGAGGTCACTTTTGATTGTGACCCATACATTTTAATGTCAGGGAATGGAGACTCCTCTCATGCCACCGCCGTCCACATGATGTCGTTCTTCCTGTTTCCTCATAGATAGACTTCCACCTCTAGCGTACCTCCTCTTTACTCTTGCTCATCAACATGGTGGGCGTCGCGCGTGTCCGTGCTGGGCCTTTTCCGCGAGCATTGCCCGCTTGCTTTCGTCCCAGCTTCAACCAGCACAGTAGACATGTCGCCACCTCAACCACGTCGAGTGTAGACAGGGTTGAGGATCGAGGCATCTTACCACAACCCACAGCGCTAGAGTCTGCAAACAGGCAGGACCGCCGGCGAGACCTACGAGACGCGAAGCCGTTTTCGTCTTTCCTGACGGATACTTTCAATCGCCAACATGACTACTTGCGGATATCAGTGACGGAGCGTTGTAATTTGAGATGTTTGTACTGCATGCCCGAAGAAGGCATCCAGCTTTCACCGAACCGAGACCTGCTCACGACCGCCGAGATCCACTATCTTTCAGCATTGTTTGTCAACCAAGGCGTCACTAAGATCAGATTGACGGGCGGAGAGCCGACTGTGAGGAAGGATATCGTTCCGTTGATGCAACGGATAGGGGAGCTGAGGAGCAACGGGCTGAGAGAGATCGCGATCACAACGAATGGCATCAGCCTGTATAGGAAACTCGATCCAATGGTCGAGGCCGGACTTACAGGTGTTAATATCTCACTGGACACTCTGGATCCTTTCCAGTTCCAGCTGATGACACGACGGCAAGGGTTCGATGCCGTCATGAAATCTATAAACCGCATAATGGAGATGAATAAGGCTGGTGCAGGCGTCAAGTTGAAGATCAACTGCGTTGTGATGCGAGGGCTCAATGAGCAGCAGATACTGGACTTTGTCGACAAGACCAGAGATGAGGACATCGAGGTCAGGTTTATCGAGTACATGCCATTCGATGGCAACAAATGGTCAAAGAAGAAGATGGTACCATACACTGAAATGCTTGAAATGATACGCACAAAATACCCCACGGTCGAACGACTACGAGGTCACAGAAACGACACGAGCAAAACGTACCAGATACCAGGCTTTGCAGGCCGAGTTGGGTTCATTACAAGTATGACGCACAATTTCTGCGGTACCTGCAACAGGTTGCGAATCACTGGCGATGGCAACCTGAAGGTGTGCTTGCATGGTAATGCCGAGGTCTCCCTTCGTGATCTACTGCGAAACGATAATGGAGGTGATCCGATGGATGACGAGGCTTTCGAGGCGGTGCGGCAAATAGAGCTTGACCGAAGGCGGCAAACGACATCCTTTTCTCTCAACAGCGATGAGGGTTGGTTGTCCAAGGAACGTCAACTCCTCGATACGATTGGCGCAGCGGTCAAGAGGAAGAAGGAGAAACATGCTGGCATCGGAGAACTGGAAAACATGCCTAACAGGCCTATGATCTTGATTGGTGGGTAGGTTCCGTACCTCTTCCTCCTCCTCCTTCTCCTCCTCTCCTCTTCTGTGCTGGATTTTCGACATGTTTGCTGGTGGTATGAGAATATGATACCAAAAGTCGGCGCTTGACGAAGGGCCAATACCAATACTACGTACCAAATGAATTACGACGGTAATGAACAATATGCATATTTTATACCATAATCTCTCCATGTAATAGGCCGCGTTGTTGCTACATTCTCCCGAATGAGTCGATGACATATGCTGACTGGGAGGTTCCAGATGAGGCCTGCCCTTCAAAGCGTCAAATGAGCTCAAGTCGCCGAAGCAGTTCCAGTTCAGGCACACCCACCTGGTCGCGTGTGCCGACTTATCTTCTAGGCTCGCATAGTGGACTGGTAGGCAATCTGCAGCACAACCGGCATTATTCATCTGGGGTGCCTTCTGGGAGGCCCTCGGCCATTAGTGTGAGGTCGTCTCTGCCAGAACGTAATGCCCAAAGGCGATCGGGCGATCACACCAGCAGAACCTCGTCGAATTCTCATCAGCCCATCGGGAGAAGGGATAGAGACGCGTACAAGGGAGAAAGAGCATCTCGACATTATCCAGATCCAGTGGTTGGGGATGAAGATGAGCGGATCCCAAACCTCTTCTCTGGGCCAAAGACTGGCGTTCAGCATGTTTTTCGTCGGGCCAATCCTTCGGATTTGGAACATGGCTTTGGAATCAGTAACATGCCTGCTACGGCTGGTAATGCCAATACCGCTGCTGCTGCTGCTGCTGCTGCTGCCGCGCCTGAGACGGACTCTGCAAAGCCAGCTCTTACTGCTGCAATCGCAGGCGACATCCATACTCCAACCCCTGGCCTCACCCACGTACAAAGCTCAGGTGAGGCATGGATGGTCGATGTAGGGTCCAAGGCACTCACCAAACGCGTTGCAATCGCCTGTGCATCTGTCAACTTCAGCAACATGCAACCCTTTAGAGCCATCCGTGAGAACACAAACAAGAAAGGCGACGTGCTTGGCACAGCACGCATAGCCGGCATCATGGCGGCAAAACGCACGCCAGATCTCATACCTCTCTGCCACCCAATCATAATTTCAAAATGCGACGTCAAAGTCCTACTCATTGAACCAGGCACAAGAAATGCTATTTGTGACGCTCAGGAACATGGCTCGGTAGCCATCGAAGCAAGGGTAGACTGCGTAGGGCCTACAGGCGTCGAGATGGAGGCCTTGACTGCTGCCCTTGTGGCTGCGTTGACAGTGTATGACATGTGTAAAGCAGCAGATAAGAATATGGTTCTGGACAGAGGTATGGTGGTTTATAAGAGCGGAGGGAAGAGTGGTCTCTTTCTGCGTTCAGAATGGGTGGCTAGTCAAGGCGGATTTGAGGGCTTGAAGGCGCGCGGGCTGGAGGCACCCGCACATAAGGGAAGATAGAATTGTGAAAGTCAAGTAGATGCCACCATTTGGACATGTAACCAATTGATACATGGTGAACGATGATAAGCATCGTCGCATTGCCCTACAACTTTGCAACCGTTTTGCTCGTTCATTGCAAGTCATCAGCTAATGCTAAGATAGAGCTATGGAGTTAGGTAACATAGAATGATGTCAAGCGTGCGAATTTTTATCTTAGCTACATATCCCACAGTGTAGAGTCCGCTCAACAGATCTTGACTTGCCCGGATAGTTTAACGGTCAGAACATGGGTCTCATATGTGATTATGTGACCAAGCGAAGCATTGGCTATCCCAAGATCTGAGTTCGATTCTCAGTCCAGGCACTCAACGTCCAAGGCGTTGGTTCGAAATTTTTCTTTTGCTGATGGTAATCATCATCGTTTTGTAGCAGCAGATCGAGTGTTTTCTATACTGATAGTGATATTCATTGTTGCAAACTTCGCTTTTCGAGGGGACTGCCGATGGTTTCCATTGTCACTCCCGCGTTCTTTGTTGAGAACACCTAAACGTTAATGCTGTGCGCAACTATTGCAGCTTCGGTATTGTTTTGTGTTGGTTCTGTTCCTTATTGCATCACTTGTAGTCAGAAACTCCATCACATCTGCTGTGTATTACTCGTCAATAATGCTCACCATGAGATGGAACTGGCACAGTTCAAGTGAGCCATCTTGATAGAGCCTGGCTGTGCTAAACGTTTATGACTTCTTGTCTGGTCAGACCAGGGTTGTTAACGATGAGAAAGCCAATGCGCGACTGTGCTACCATAGCTGAGACATAGATTGCAGGCATGGGGGAACATGTGCACGAGCTGCAGGCCGTCCTATAGTGACATATGGTAATTGGGCAGCATAAATCTCATCTGTATATACCTGTTTGCACCTCAACTGATAGCTTACATGCTAGGCTGGTCCTATAGGAGTATTCACTGCGTACAAGGCGTATGAGGTGTATGAGGCAGAAGCCATAGTGGAACCCATTTAGCGTCACTACTACAGCAACCACTTGAAGATCATCCGGACCCGGCAGAGCTGAAGGGAGGATCGTGCGGATTCTTGCATGGGCAAGCACAGAAGAAGGCAGCACGTGCAAGGATTTATCTCCACCCAGCGCGCTGCCACGGAAACACAGGAGGCTCGGCCCCATTTCCGAACTTCTCGACTTCATCCACAGCAGATCCTCGATTGGTACGGATATGAAAGGATTTGACATACAACATCTTGTAAAAGAAGTGCGGTGTTCTCTTGAATAGCACGCACCCGTGAACACCGCCCAACAGGTACCCTCGCGTCGCAAGCGATGCTCGCGAAATTACAAGGTCTAGACGAATGGAGCAGGAATAGGTGAAACCGCGCCAAGCGGGACTTCCATGATCATGCCCCATTTCCACCCTAACTGTGCTGAGCGTTGCAGTCTTCTCCCCCCCCACCGCCTCAATGCATTTTCCTAGTTGCTCGGGTGTGGCAGAGGGAACGGGAAACCTGCTCGCAAACAAACCGTCCAGTATCAGGCCAATGGAGATGGGCGCTGCAGCACTCTGCTCCCTGTCCATAGTAGTGTCCGACTATATTGACAACATAGACAGGAGCAGGGATGACCCAGCCAATGTCAACCTCTGTTTATTGACATTGACTGGACCTCTCCCGCCGTCTAATAATGCGCTCTAATCCTCGCAAAGTAAAGTGTTGCAGTTCCGGCCTGATTGGATCTTGTCTTCCAGTCTGTTCGCTTTCAAGTGTCAGGCGAGTTGGTTCAGCGCCACTAACCCTTTTCCTTATCCACGCCTACTTTCAATTCTGGCGCATGCGCAGCAGCGTTGTTATCAGCTCCCACTCCCCTTGTTGCAGCTACTGAACCTAATGCAGCCTCCAACCACCACTTGACTTCCAAGTTTTGGCCACTGTGACACTGCCTGTGCCAATCACTTTACACTCCGACGGAAGGAAATGGCTACTCACCGGTGACCTCCAATGCAGCGACATCTTCGCAGGATCAAAGCTACTTCCCACTGATTTCGATATATCGATCTGGCCATAGGACTTGCAAGGCCGCTGCTGCCAGTAAACCTTCATGGGACCAGAGGCACTTGTGACGTTCCTCTTCAGGGCCCCACCAGAAGTCCGCATTGTCGAATTGCTGGGCTCATGGGACAATTTCCAGCGAAGGTATCGTATGCACAATGACCGACGACGAGGCAGTAGTTTCTGGGCTGGGTGTTTTAAATTCGAGAACATCATCTTCGACGGCGACATCCCGAACTTCACAAAGCCGCGATCTGGTGGGTTGAGGCAAGGCGGGACATACTGGTACTATTACCAACTCAACCATGAAGTGGAAGCATTTGATGCGAGCCAGCCCATAACGACCAATTGTCCCATATTGCCCGGTCAGCCTATCAACATTATTGAAGTACCGTCTGAGGAGTGGGAGCGCCCTGAGCGCCGTAGGAGTGACTCGTTCGATGTTGTCGGCACGCTTGCAAATATGACCGCCATGACCACGCTAGAACCGGACAGCAAGTTCGCAAAGCCCAAACCTCCGCCAGTCTGCAAGGTGCATCATCGATGCGTATCCGACTTGGCCTTGAATGGAAGACTTGAGAGCCGTCCGCCCACCGCTGATGGACCACGCAATTCTGAGCCTCCGGTGCTTGATGTTTCAAGCCCAGTAAGTCGAGGGTCATCGTCTTCAAAGCGTAGGCGGGTCGATGAATATGCGCCTCCAATGACAACCGATTCAACGCGAAGCTACACCTCGAACCGAGCGCTCTCAATGATCTCTTCTCTAGCTCCAAGGTCGCGAGCCAGTCAGGTACCAGCGCAATCGTCTCCTGACATCTCCCGTCCTAGTACGAGACATGGTGGTCTTGATATACCAGCATTCGACTTTGGTTTCGATAGACCGAACTCGTCGGCATCTGAGCACGAAGACTGTAATGAGATCACGTTAGTGGAAGAAGTGCAAAGGAAGCCTGTGCCAAGTCATAACAGCTGGAACCGCAGTGGCAATAGCGACAAAGTCAGACCAGTACCTTCGCCTAACATCAACAATGTCCATTTCAATGGCGCGAGACCTGCTACTAGATTCGACTTCCATAAACGTGCGCCCTCAGCCAGTATTGACAATCAAACACATTACGCACCGAAACGACCCGCAAGCTTTGCAAGTTCGCCAGAGTTGACAGCTGATGAGATTAGTCCATTCACTGATGACGGAACATTCGATCACACAATCCATTCTCCCCGACTCTCTGCCCAGACCATCAGCTCAGCTGGCGCAGAGACGCCATTCTACACCTCAGCAATGCATTCACGAGCGCATACAGCTAGTCCTGACAAGGACGCAGAGCTCAGCAAGGCCTATCACCCCATTCGAGACACGGCGGTGCCAGACACCAATAATGACTTTGCCTCTCTCAGTATATCTCCACAGTATACTGTTCCTTCAATCGATCCCTACACACCCGATATACCTCGCTGCACAAACACTACTATTGCCACAACAGCCTCGATCAACAGTGCACCGTGTGGCCGCACCCACCTTTCCGCCTACGCTCTTCCACCTTCTGATGTCTCCTCAACCTCGACGATAACCAAGCTCCCCTCAACTCACAGCAACACTTCTTTCCACTCCTACAACTTCGGCAATCCTGGCATCATCGCTGGTGGTTCAGCCGCGAGCGCAGGAATGGAGACAGCGGACGTATCCATTTGTCTGCCAGCGGTGATCGGACAGGTGCCAGAAGGGGTTCTGATGGCGGATGCGATTTTCAGTGAGCTTGGATACCTGGGTGGTAGCATCACTTGATACGCCTACACCTTGTAGATGACGCAGGGCATCTCAAGCATATGCACTCTCGACAGGTGACGGGCTGGCACGATCCTTTACATCGCGTTCTATGTCCCCCGAGGCTTTGTCTTCGTAAACCACGTATGCTCCAGCGGCCAGAGCACACACAAGATGCCCACGTACGTACACACACACACACACACACACACGTACACATACACATGTAGATAACAGACGACAACGACAGTGATGATACCCTATTAGTACACATGGCTTTTTACCCTCCCGATGATGGACAGATAGACTAGAGACAGAGAGCGGCATCCTGGATAGCGAGCAGCAAAGCACTGCATACAGCCTCAAGATTTTCTTGTCAAGATACAGACAGTGAAACGAAGCACTTCAAAATGACTTCTTCTGTGCCAACGTTCCATGCCCTTTTCTATCTCCGATCCGAACTTTGCTAACATTACAAGATCCAGTGCTTCCAGCATTGCCTTTTCTTCTAGAGGCAAGTTGTGCTTTTAGTGCTTTTCCTGTCTTACCCTCAGTTTCATATTGCTTAGCCTACCTTCTCTTCCAATCCAGTCATCCCTCAGCTCTCAGCCCTTGCAAAGAGCCTTACAGTCCTATGAAAACCAGGTCCGAAATTGAAAACATCAACAGGTCATGCATGGTGGAACGACAGAAGGGAAGGAAGGCGTCATGAAATAGACGCGGTCGTTTCTGCCCTTCTCTCCCACCCACTCGCACAAAGCCATGCACTCGTTCCAGCCCTACTTTCCCACTCTGCTCGACTCTTCGACTTTTACGCTCTCTGCTTCATTACGCATTGCCAAAGGGAAAACGAAAACCCAACCCACACCTGCAAAACTCCAGTGTAAAGGCAAACGGAACATTCGACGAGTTTCAGACGGAAAGATAAAGAGCAAATGCAAGGCTCTTTCCCCGCGGAAGCAGATAAAGTACGCACAAGAAGCGGAATTCAAAGGCAAAATGCAAAATTGCGCTCCCACATGTACTTTGACGGAGGGGTGGCACGCATGCAAGCAAGGCTCATCATCGTATCCGATCGAAGCTCTTGCCGCCCATGGCCACTGTCTCTGACTCAATCGTCCTCGACCTCCTAGGCAGGCCGAACGAGCTGCCCTCGCCTCCGCCGTTCATCGGGCGGCGAACGCCGTTGTTGTCGAAGCTTGTGCGCTTCTGCTCAGGGCCGGAGTCCTCGTCGCTATCCTCCGCCAGCTCTCCTAACCCCCCGTTCTCGATTTCATATGAATGCATTAGATGCTGGTCTCCTGCTCCTACGCCTGGCAGCCTTTCCCTGCTCGAGGTGAATGTCGTGGGGCTACGCAGGCTCCAGCTTCTGCTGCGTCTATGGTCGCCGTTCCAGCTGCCGCTACCAAAGTCACCGCTCCGACGATTCTGCATACTCAGGCGGGTCTGTAGACCAGTGAGGCCGTCGGTAGGTATGCCGTCGACTTCGTGATATTTGCCACGGTTGTCAGAAGAGGCAATACCGAGACCTGTGCCATCT